TATATATACTGTATATAAAGGAAGGGGTCATCCTGACGTCACATGGAGCTGGTTCTGGAATGTATGCATGTGCAGGAAGCACCAAAACAAAGAGGAAACTACAAAACTGGAGGAAACAGAGATTCAACTGACCCCTTCTTCATTGAATGCAAAGATTTGGGCTCATTTTGGTTTTTACTGAATGAATCTGAGTTTGACTTGAGCTTCACTGTGTGCAAAATTTGCAAAATGAAGATGAAGCACTTCAGGAACACAACAAATGGGCTCCCATTGAGTTTTGAATGAAAAAATAAAATCGATTTTGAATCGAATCGTGAAAGAGTAAAAGATTCCCACCCCTAATGACTCACTGTGACCTCTGAAGAGGAAACAGACAAAAGAAGAAAAATAAGTCATAGTAGGATAGTAAACACTCAAAACTTAATATTAGAAATCCCCTGATCTTGAAACCAGATAAGGCAGATGACATGACTAATCAAGCAGAACAACCAGTTTTAAAAATGAAACCATAAAAACCATAGTCCCAGAAAAAAAAACAGACACAATGAAGAACAGCTAGCTTTGAAACGGTCTGATGATGAAAACAGGTCAAACTCTGAACTCTCACCTTTAATCTTTGCACCATCTCCCTGATATCCTGCGCACAGCCATCTGGTACTCTCACAGCAATATGGTCCCCTCTTCCATAGAAGATCTTTAACGCCAGTCGCTCCGGTGTCCAGCCAATAACGTCCCCACAGAAACAGTTAAACACCACATCTTTGGTGGCGCAGTCTATGAGGAGCACGTATTCCTCTGAGATACCCAAAGCACAGGGGAGCTCTGCACCTCCTCCACTGAAGTCCTGAGCCAGGACCCTCCAGGCGATGGCCCCTGCAGCCCCCAGCTCGGCACCCTCTCTTGCTTTCGAGCGCTCACGTTTCTTAAAGCGGATGATTTTCCCGGCTGATTCGAGCGGCGCGCTGGTGACGTAGTTCTCGGCCAGGTCTCGCAGATACTCCTGCCGCGTTCGCGTCGCCATGGTGTGGAATTTCTCCGACTTGTGCGCTGCGTTTTCAGCGTTGATAACTTTTGCTAAGAGAAAGTTGCGAAAAGTCTCTGGGTCACGGAAGGTGGCTCCGTTGGGGATGGGGGGTCCAAAATGAGGCACGTCTTTCATCCGGGTCACAGCAACACTGAGGGAGGAGGTTGATGGAAATCATGTGAAGTAATCATGAAATGAGTAAGAAGAACATTTGCTTGTTCTGCTGTAAATATTTACCTGTAGCAAGTGTTGTCAGGGCAGGGTTTGTGAACACGAACAACAATAAAGACATGCTGGAAATGGGAGCGAATGTTTTGAGGGGTGAAAGGCAGGGCTCCTGGCTCTTGAAAGATTATGGTGACAATGTCGTTCCCTATGTGCCTCTTTCGCAGGAGCTAAGGCAAAAAAAGAAAGTTAAAATGACAATTTAATAAAATAATGGGTTCTGTACCCCACAGAAAGTCTGACATTCTCTGCCAGACACAAACCAACAACTCTTTATGTAATTTGCTTTTGCCTTCTGTGTGGATTATTTGCGTCTGTCTGTGTTCATGTTGGAAACATGGCACACAGTCCAGGCTGTTCCTGTGCTGCAGTGCATGCCAATCCTCTCTTCATCTGCACTCAGAAGTGTGAAAGTACCAATTACGTAATGCAGCCCACTGTTGGCCCACAGGAGCATCATTCACTTGCAGTTGTAGGCTGCGGTTTAAAAAAAATAGCATCAAGCTTTATGTAATGTGCAGCAACAAGAAAGAAGTTTAATCTGATTTTTAAATGTGATGTGACCATTTTCTGATTCAATATTTATTCTCATGTAATGCAACATGTTGATATCAAACATTTAACAATTACTTTTTGTAAGATTGTTGTGCAACACAGGCCTGCATTCAGCTTTTTTTTTTCTTTTCTGAATGTAAAAGCTTCAAAGCAGCTTTTATACTGCTGGCTTTATTCTTCTACTGTGGGTTATTTTTAATGTCAGATGCTGCCACCTAGAGGTTTATCTCAGTAAGTGAATGACATTTCTACTGCAGCGTCTAAACCTCTGGATGGAGTTATTGTGCCGTTTATGAAAATACATCTTCTGGGTTTAATGTTTTCCACAGACATTCAACTTTTCAAACCGTTAAAAAGTCAAATCTTTGATTTAGTGAGCTGCTACACAAAAAAGCTTATTCATCTTTAAAATAAAATAGTTTTAACTGAACATGACTTCTGTGTAGTCTACTCTCTTCTGTAGTATCTCTAGTGACATAAAATATACAAATGAATCCTGAGCACCTACAGGGATTTTCAGAGCACATGTGCACACGTGTGAGCCTCTCACGCAAACATTAACGTTATTTTACATGTAGTTCTACACACAACCCATGTTGTAAAGATGTGAAAATGAGAGACACTGCAGCTATGTTTTAATAATAAAAAAGCCCCAATAAAGGGAGAAAATACACTAATAACTACCCACTGTTGAACCCCACCCAACTGTGATCCAGTTAAAGGCGGAGAGGCAGAGAGGAAAAGGAGAAAAGCCAGGGCGGACAGAAAAACCACAAACAACAAAGGCTATAAAAACCCAAAAGACAAAATAAAATAAAAAAAGGCAGAAGAAAGTAAATGAAGGCGACACCAGCAACAAGTTTCAACTTCTTGGATCGTTGCTGTTTTATGACTCAGAAGAAAAGGCAGAAGTTCTAATTAACAACCACAGGCATGCTTTGAAAAGCCTTGGGTGACAACAAAAGGTGGCTGTGCGTTTTTTTTTTCCCTTTCATATATGCACAGCAATGTTTGCCCAGCTACAAAGGACAGAGCCTCAGGTTGAATTAGGGGTTGTGTGTTTTTACCTGCTGTGGGTTGTTGGGCATGTACGGCAGCATGGTGGACACATGGAACATGACCTCGTAGCCCTGGTAGGTCGTGTAAAGGGAGTGGATGCCCGTTGAGTCAGCTTCAGAGGAGGAAGAAAATACATTTTTTATAATCGTAAGTTAATTATAGATAACACAGTGTTGCTGAACTGGACTTTCTGGTTCAGATGTGTTTCCACAGACTGTGACTCAGTCACTGAGCTTCTCTAGGGGTTTTGGCACATTGTTTAATTATTGTGCTTTTCAGCTCTAGAATAACCCATAACTTCCCTTTTGCCCTTCGCCATGAAGGTGGGGTGATACTGTAATTACCTACCAGTAAGTCTGTGCATGCCTTTATATATATATATATATATATATTAGCAAAATATCTGGACTCTAACAAAACTCTGTGAAAATAATCATTGGCTGTATATCTAAAACTGATTACCAAACTCATGTAAGGTGGCTGCCACAGGTAATTAATCTTAAGGACCTTTATAGGGAGCGTGGCAAAAATCACCTTAATGTAAAACAGAATTTTAAAGTTAATTTTGTCACTCAGACCCCTGTGTTTCTTTGCATACAGGAAACTGAACCAAAGTTACAGCAAACTGTATTATATTACAGAGAGGTGCTCACTCTTTGTGTCGAGCTGCGCAGCGTATTTGTCAAATCCTTTGAGGAGCACCTGCTCCCCCAGCAGCTCCAGGAAGGCAGAGAAGGCAGGTGATGCCTTCTCGTTGTTGTACATCTCCTCCTCTGTGCGCTGACCCGCTCGGCATAGAAGAACACCCACTTTGTGCTTCTGACTCAGCTGCACACACACAAAGAACAAACAGTTAAAACTGTACAGTTTAAAACCTCCTGCTTCTACACAAAGCTTGTGTCAGCAGATGAGCATTTAATTGAGCTGTCATGTGTGTGCGTGTGTGTGTGTGTGTGCGTGTGTGTGCGTGTGTGCGTGTGTGATGTATGGACTTGCTTACTCATACACAGAGCAGTTTCACTGATGTATAAACCACCTACACAAACAACACACCCCCTGCTGGCAAAAAAACTTTTATGCTGCACTTCGCTCACCGTTAAATAAAAAGGTGAGATAATGTTGCCGAAGCCCAGCTTCGCAAAATTTTCACTACACAGACGTTGTACTTTGAACCAACAGTTTATCAGTTTTATAAGTTTCAGACACACACAGACGCTATCTCAACATACTGCCGATGTTTCACCTTATCAGTTGTTATTTATGCTGACTGTACTGAGGCTGAGGGGAGCTTGTAACGAATCAGCAATCCAGCATCCAGTTTTATTGGGTAAACCACAAAATTTATTGCAAATACAGACGCATTAAACTCACCCCTTGTTCATCCAGTTTCAGGAGCTGATCTTTGACTTTGGCGGTTTTGAGCGCCTGTCTCAAACAGGAGACGTTTAACTCGGGCACAACCTGCTCCAGGACCTCTTTGTGAAGAAGACCTCGAACCGTGCCGTGTTTCTCCGTGGACGCCACCGCATCTTCCAAAACGCAGCCTCGCAGGGTTACAAGCTACAGGCAGGAGAAAGAGAGGGGTTAAAATCAACGGCAGTTTAATTTATATACACACACACACACTCAGATATAGCACCGTGCCTGTGGAAATAAATACGAGTAACTGAAGTCTAAAGCAGGTTGAACAAAAGAAAGATTGTTGTAGTACTTAAAATAATGGCCTGCTGCTCTGACGCTTTTTCCTTCTGTCAAAGACTCACAGACACACAGTGAAAGTGCTCTGAGTGGAGGGATGTGAATTGATTATTGTAAAATAATATCTTTAATTCAAAATTTTAATGGAGAAAACTCCCTGAATGGGAAATGAAATACCTTCAACTACAAAAATCTAAGTCCAGTTGTTGTATCTGTTTGTTTTTCTTTTGGATTTGCCACGTTCTGGATGACTGAGACTCTACACTAGCATAATGTGAATTAATATTCTGCTCAGTGTTGAGAAGTCACAGTGCACCGACTCCTGCTGAGGGCAAATTGACCCACTTGAAGACAGTGAGACTATAATCGCATCGGATCGGTACAGTTGGGAAAAGTGGACTGCCTCCTCGCCACGCTCTCTCACATGTGGGTTTATTAAAAATGCATGACGGGCTCCAGTGCTGGTGGGGGTCGGAGAGACAGCTGAACCTCAGACACTCAGATGTGCTGCAGAGAAATACAAAACTGATTGACAAGCAGTTGAAGTTATGAAGCTTTTGTTTCAGCTCGTCAGCTGCTGTGCGACGGTGGGGAAAGCGACGCGCTGAGCTGGAATATCAGAAGAGGGGGACGGCAAGTGTTGAAAAGTGCGACGGAGAGTGAAAGAAGGACGAGAGAATGAGGAAGTCTCTCCACCTTGCTGTGTCAGCAGTGCTGCGGAGTTAAATGACAGACTTACAGAGGAGGGATATTTGAGATGTGCTGCGGCCTGAGTGAGAGAGAATAAATTCAGTGATCAATCTCCATTTTTTTTGCCTTCATGTGTGGGAACAGCAGGCCTGGGTGCGCTGGTTGCCTCTGTTAGCTTAGCTCTGTGTTCTTGAACAGACAGGCTTCATTGTTGTAACAGAGTTAAAGTGATGAGGCCAGGCAGCCGTGTAATCCAGCTAAAAACAACACCACATCAACCACACAGAGGGATAAACTCAATCCAAGACTGCATGAATCCATGAATAGGAGCCCTCTTTGTTTTAGCTTTGTGTGCTCTTGACGTTTGGACAATACGTTTTAAAATTAAGTCAACAATTCTTTAAAAAAAGAACAACTTAGAACTGTGTTATCCTATAAATTGGAAAGGAAAACAACATTACTAACAATTACAGCTTAGAAATAATTAGATTAAATCGGTTATACATACATTTCCCTTCTTAAAGAAAATCTACATAGTTGAATGCCTTAATTAAGTGACTATCTTGGGGTTTTAAAGACAAGTTAAAATTAGCAACTATGATGAATGCAGGCAAACAAAATTGTCTTACTAAAACAATAAAAGCATTTAATCATTAACTTTTTATGGTTTTTTGTTAAATTAAAAAGCTTTGAAAAATAAATCTGATGCCCTGAAAACACCATTTTTGTGACAAAATTTGCACAAAAAAGTCTTCAGCAACATCTAAGGAAAACTGCAAAGAACCCACAAGTTATTTCTACCAAACTATCTGCGTGTCATTATAAGCACCACAAAGATTTGATCCCGCTAAGCAGACAAGTGGCTGGGTGAGGGGCCAGTTTTTTCAGACAGAGCCGCCAGTGTTTGGTTTGTCTTCAATGCGCTGGGACTTGAACAGCTGGAATTTTCCCACTGGCAGGATGGAGAGAGGGGGTGAGCAGAGGGTGAGGTGGGAAGCAGCGGAGGTAATAATCAGGGCAAAGAGGACACAAGTTGTCACAGGTGAGGGAGGATAAACTGAAAGTAGGTGAGGAATTAACTCGAACGTGCTTCCTGTGGCTGACTCATCCTTCACCCTGTCACTCAGAGCTTCAGGACAAACACCCACAGACAAGTGCTTACCTCACTTGTTCTGGCGATGATGCGATACTGGTACTGGTCTTTCAGGTCTTTGGTATCTTCCAGTTTCTCTCTGCGGATGCTCACAGCGACAGGTCCCAGCTTATTATCCGTCCCAAAGTAGTTTGAGTGCTCTGGTGAAGGACAGAGGTCATCAAGGCTACAGTTTGTACTGTGCAGAAAGATCCACGTGTTTATGTCTGAACATGAGCCTGTGTTATGTCTATAGTTTGGTACATCACAAAATTAGATTAGTTAAGAGTGTTCTTGTTAAAAAGACCAAAAATGTTCTGACACGATTCCTTATCAACGAGAAGCTACAATTTCCAACTTTTAAATGCTGTATTTATTATTTGATTGACAAAGTTTCCAACCATCAACAATTTAAAAAACTTAGTTAAAAATTCTTAAATGAAAATAACTACTGGTAATATTTTTTTTAAACAACAGGAAATTGTCTGCTTTTATATTCAGTAGGATTACTTTACTTTTTTAAATTCTGAAATTTTTGGTTCTTTTTAAATTCTTTGCAAAACATTTAGTTAAACTGGATGGCATTTATGTGTAAAAAGTTAATGAAAAATATGCAGTGATAGTTGAGGAAAAGGATAAAATAATGGCCAACTGTCTGGTAATCAATACTTAAGCAATTATAAATCTACCTGAAAGAAGAGGTGAGGATTAAAGGATTACAAAGTTATTAGATATTGAACCTTTTCATGTTAATGTAGGAGCATCATTGTACAAGAAGACAAAACAATTTTGACTTATCTAAAATTATCCAGACCTTCAGAATAAATCTAGCTTCCGTGAATTATTCTCCATTTATTTACTAGAGTCAATTGTGAAGTCATAAATGTTAGGAACCTCATGCCTGTTTATCGTCTGTGCCATGTCCCGTGGCAGAAATGTCAACGTTTTGAAGACGACATGGACACAAGGCACATCACAGCAAACATACATCACAGCATTGTTCAGGGGGACAACTAAGCTGGAATGGAGTCAGCAGATGCACGTATTTTTGGAACGGTAACCTTTATTTGCGTCGCTGCAGGCCTGTGTCTCTCTCACAGACACAAGCTCGCCTGCCTGCGCACACGCTCCTAATAACATCTGGCACTAATTAGTCTGGAGCCAGATGATGCTTGCCAAGGGGTAAGTATCATCAAAAGTGTCTGAAGAAGTGGTGCTGACAACAAATGCCCACATGTATGCACGCACACAAACAAGCCAAACATGCTCCTCTCTGAAGTTACACTAAAAGCCAGGTGTAAAACAAAGCTGAGCTGGCTGGTGTGTTTGGTACTGGGTGTGATCCTGAGGCAGGTGCTGTATCATCAGCTTCGAGTTTGCCAACTCTACAATGGCAGCTACATGTGTTTTTCAAAAATTCTGGAGGCTTGCCAGTTTTCTCTGCCCAGCTCATGCACAGCTGGATGTTAAAAGTTAAACAACACAAAAACATTCATGGTGACTCAAATATAAGGGTCTAATTCTGAGTAAAATATAAAATCATGCCATTGGACTTTAACTAAACTGCATTAGTTTGCATAAGTGGAAATAGCCATCTTAAGATTGTAATGATGAAATGATGGCATTGATTTAAAATAAACATCTGTTTTACCTTTTTCATAGAAGTGGTCTCTGTAATAGCGGGCCCCCAGGTCAACGTGCTCTATACTGTACAGTTTCAGTCTTTCCAGTCTTGACACTTGCTGTTCAATTGGTATCTCTAGCACCGACATGCTAGCGTTACTTTTCCTCAGCCAGCCTCTTCCTCCTTCTCCATCTCCCCGCTCCACTGATGAACTGAGGAAGCTGATGTTTCGCTCTGAGTGCCCACCGGTTTCATTTACAAAGTGAGGGCAGGAGAGAAGCAATGGGCTTGAGCTGTTGGTCGATGGCCCATCCAAAGGTTCCATAACCAGAGAGGGTGTTGTGGTGCCCGGATCAACATTCTGGGTCAGATCCTCGATGCTGGAGTAAATATGTTCATTTAAGTTTGGAGCTGACGATCTGCTGGGGATAGAGGGAGACACTGAAGCAGCTGATGCACCTGTGGCCGTGTTCCTCCGCTGGGTGTCGAAGCTGCGCTGAGCCGCTGCTTCGTGGAGGTCAAACAGGATGCTCTGAGCATCGAAGTGGACAAAGCTCTTAGGACAAACCCACGGTTTGTAGGAGGCATCTGTGGAACCTTTCCCTCCCCTCTCTTCATTAGTTTCTCCTTTTCCTCCGTCCAGCTCCCCTCTACTAGAACTCCGGATCTTCCGGAGCAAACCAGAGGTGCCCAGTGATGACTCGGTCCCTCCACTTTTCTTTCGGACTCTCTCAGAACCGTCCCTCCTTCCTGTTCCTTGGTCATCTCCGGATGCAGGACCAGGTGAAGGAGCAGAGGGTAGAGGTGCCCTGAGCGCTGAGTCTTGGGGGCGCAGCAGCTCCCCAATCTGTGTGGGTGCTGAGCTGCGCTGGTCGGGCTTCACCTGGTTGAACTGGCTGATCATGTCAAAGAAACTCAGATTAGAAATGCCCTGGTCATTGATTGAAGAGGTGCTGCCGTACTCTCGGAACTTGTTCCCCATCCCGACACCTCCACGGACCACAACCTAGGAGAAGATGTGTTTTACCCATGATTGTCAATCAAATATTAATGTAGAGCACATGGTTAAATATAATTACTCTAAACATGCTCTGTATTAACACTGATGCAGGAACAAAAAGACTCACCTCATTGTCATCTTGCTCACTCAGCGTCACTTCACTGCTGGAGCGCTGTCTCAAGGGTCGGAACACTCTGGAGTTGACAGGTGAACCTCTCTCCCCCATAACCCCTCCTCCGCTGAACTCCACATCCTTTGACCATCTTTGGGGCAACCTGGCGAGCCCCCCGCGCACCAACTTGACGTCAGATGACAGAACAGAAGATGAAAGGGAGAGGTCGTCATAGTGATTGCTGCCATTTTGCCCATTTTCAAGCAGCGACTCCCGGGACTGTGCGCGACGTGGAGGCCATTCAGCAATCCGCGCACGGACACCCATTTTGGGCACGGAGACGCGCGACTGGATCGTTGGGTCGGCTGGGCCGGGAGCTGGGAGGCCATTAGGGGTGTGACGAAACAACTTGGGCTGGGGCAAACCTCCACCTCCATCTAGAAGGTCTGAGGAGGTGCAAGTTACCCCTCCGTCTCTGTAGCTGTTCATGACAGCCCAGGAGAGCTCAGGGCAGAGGGGCAGTCTGCAGGCATCCCATCTCAGGAGGGGCGCTTGGTGAAAGGGAGTGGAGAGGCCCTGCAAACACTTTGCTAATGATGTTGTGGCTTCCAGCGCCCAAACACATTGCTTTTAACTGGCAGGTGAACAAACGTTTCAACGGTGCATTGTGGGACTGGTCTGAAAAAAGGCTGCTCCTCTTCCTCGCCTGCTGGGGTTATTTCCTGTATTCTGTTAGAAGAAAAAAGAAAAAGAAAATAATTATCCAAATAAAACAGCCTCAGAGTAGATAAAATGCAGATTTAGAATTTCTTTAATTGAATCCACGGTCCACATCTCCCAAACAGAACCGCAGAAAAATTCAGCTCTGGTTTGAGAAACGTGAGTCACTCAACTGTGAAACACTGAGAAAATCAGGTGAGGGGATATGACAGCGGATTTCTTCCATTTGGGGTAATCTTCAGGAGGCTGACAAGGGATATTATTATCACTCACTGTGTGTCTGTGCACGCACACACACGCACTCATACCACCCACATGACATGAAGCTTTGCTTTGCTGCAAAGTTAAACCCTCTAAAACATTGCAGTTCATATTAAAACATGAACAGCAACACTTTGGATTTGCACACAAAGACTTTATTTTATGCACTGTTTAAAAGCATTGGTTTGACTCTTTTGTATGGACAAAGAAGACAGACAAAACACTCTTTCTAAAGAGCGCCAGAAACAAGAAATAATCAGAACTTGGTGTGATAGAACGTCATAAAAAGTGAAAGGATTAAATACTGGAGGACAGAAAAGGACAAGAGCATGCAGAAACCCAGCATCAGCCTGAGGGGCGAGGCTGGGTGAAGCCAGAAATGGGAAGGAAAGAGCGAAGCATTGCTCAGTGAACCACATCAGTGTGCTTCAACATGACAGTCACACAGCATCAAATCTTAAGAAACCAATGGCCTTGTAGGAACTTATCTTATTTAGAAACTATTTTTGAACTGCTGATGCTTAATGTATTTCCTATTTATCTTTTTACAGTTTCCAATGTGTATGCAAATGTTTTTGTGTTGTAAATCACTTTAAAACAACAATGCCAATGGTTTAAACATTAAAAATTTAAGAGCATGAATTAAGATAAATAAATGTGACCCATTTGTTGTTCCTCCTGCTTTTACATGACATTTGGCTCAGCTCCTCCTCGGTTTAAAAAGCAGCTCAGATCAAGTGTATTTGGACTGAAACTACATGAAAAAGGCAAACGATCTTATGCTTGAATCTTACATATTGTTTATAAGTATTTACTGACATTTTGAAAACAGAAAAGCAAAAGCAACGACAGCCAACTGTACAAAGACTTCATGCCAAACCCATAGATGAAATATAGAAAAGTGTAGTTCTAATAGTTTGAGAAGGTTGATTATTTTTGAATGAGTTTCAGAAAGATGTCTAAAATGTAAAAGTTGCTTAATTCATTCACCTCGGCTGCACTCCACTTTCAGGTTAAAGCACTTATCTCCATAAGTCTCTCTTCAAACTGATGAAGCCACTGAAATATCTAAGACTGAGTTGCTCTCCGAGAACACCCACATAATCTGAAAATACAGCGCCTTTTCAATGTGCTCCAGTTAGTTTCCAGGGTTTAAGATGTCCTTTCTTTCCCGTGTAGTTTATAACACAATTCAATTGTTTTGTCTGCCTGTTTTGTGAAACTAAGATTTGATCATCTAGAGGAAGTTAAAAAAACCAGGAGTGTAACTTTCCAGAGTTCTCATTTTAAGCTGAATTGGTTGTGAATTATATAACTCTTGTTATACAGTACAACATGAGCAACAAAGGCTGCTCAGAGTGGGCTGTGTGTGTGTGTGTTTTATGATATATAACATTTTTAAAAGTCCTTGCTGAATTTGTTTTTGGCCCCTGCACTACATTCCTCATATTCTCATACACACAGAGAGAGACACATGGGAACCGCCAACAAATCTCATTCAGAGCAAACAGAATCCCACTATATCCAATAAACCACACAAATGTGTCACGTCTTTGTTTCTGGAGGAGCACTAGCATTTCCGGGCCAAAGGCTCCGGCTCTGATCATGCTTTCTGACAGAGTCTGTCCTTATTCAAAAGGCTGTCCTGTGATCCCCCTACGAGACTCAATCCCAGATTATCCGCCCCAGCTGCAAGAGCTGGAGAATGACTTCATTATGTGCCTGATGAGAGAGGCAATGGAGAGAGTGTAGTCTGTTTTATCAGTAAGAAACACACCTATGTTTAACACCAACAAGACACTAAAACTGCAGCCTTAGGTAACATTAGATAATCACATGTTTCATATTGAGTCATTTTGACAAAATTAATAAAATCCAAAGACAAAAACAGAAAAATTGATGGCAAATTGGGCACATGTATTCAGGATTGGCACAGAGTTTAGTTTACAAAGATCAGACATTTTGTGCCTTTTAATTACTCACATATTAGTGATTAGTTATCACAAGGATGTACCTCCCCCGCTCTGACGCTACCACTTATGTTCCTTCCCTTCTCGGCACACTGGCTCTGACTTGCCCAGCATGATGCAGGGCTTGGCGCATGCACCGCAAACACACACCAAGGTTGGTAATTACGCTGGTTAGATGGAAGTAATGACAGAGCAGGCAGAGGAGGGCAGCTTCCAAAGGAATGAGCGTAATCATTGTGGAGGAGGTGCCACTGCTGCCGCTCCTCACTGGTATGTCACAGCAATGCAGCAGACCTGTGATCAGTCAGGACTGAGGCAGAGCCTTTAAGTCAGAGATGAGAAGGGATCGACCTGCCATATGTTGCTGCAGGGATGTATGTCAACAAGCAAAAGTCAAATGATTTACGAAGACTGAAAGACTTTTAAGAACGTACAGGAAGCACTTACAGAATTAGGAAAAAAAAACGTTCAGATAAAAGACAGCACAAGTTCCAGCATGTGTTTAAATAAGGAAAACTGAAGTCAGATTAAGGTCTGGTTTGAAGAGCAGATGGGGGTACATATGAGTGGCAGACGGCACACAGAAGCAGAGAAGAGCATGACACCGTGTTACGACAACGAAATACTTCCAGCTTGTTTGAGAACAGCACCAACCAGGAATAAAATCATCAGGACTTCGAGTGCAGAGAACAGATCAGGACTGCAAAGATGTCCCCGTGAACCTTATCTCAAGAAGACGCAACAGTTACAGAAGCTACCAGACAACATTCTCAAACATAACGTGTCAAGCTGCTTGAATTTCTCAGTTGAAAACATCTTTGATGTGCTTTGTGTGGCCTGTGTGACAGTGTAGTGCTTGTTGACCGCTGTGTTTCACAGGGGGTTTACTGCTGATACATTTAGTGAAATAAAGTTTAGGACTATAAAAAACTAAAATAGCAGTAAGAGACAAGTGACGGTTCTTTTAAAATTACCTACATTTTTTTGGTCTTTAATGTTTATTTTTTTTGTTTTGTTTTTGTTGTGAAGCTTAAAAAAGACAGGCTTAAATTTCCCTGACATGACTAAAGAAGTAACTTGATTTTCCTCCATGATACAAGATTTGACAGACAAATTGGATCTTGTGCGCTGCTGGCGTACATGCTAAACAGTAGGCTTTTGTTTACGTGGAAAAGATCAAGCTCAGTTTAACTTCTACTATACATCGAAAAATGCAAATAAAGAATCCTTATTTCTGAGTATTGCTCTAGCAGTGGTATAAATGCCAAAAAACTAACCGAAAATGGGAGCTGAAATCTTGAGTCCTAACTGAAACTCTACAGGAAACACTAAAAACAACACCGACAGACCAAAATATCAGCTGGAAGGAAACACAAAGCTGAAGCCTCGGACTCTGTTCTATATTGGGCTTGTTAAGTCTGTTTGGGTTATCTGGAGGAGACATTTCTCTCTCTCTAAACGGTGCATTACAAAGCTACATCCCCAAGAATCGCCTTGTTTTCCTCACAGATCTTTCCTCTTGTCCTGCTCCTACTGTCTCAATTGATTTTCGTCTACACCGTTTTACTGATTCTTGCTGAAGTTGCATGTGTCGCTTCATTTTGACTGGCTGTTTGTCAGGATGTCCCATGATACCAAGACAGTGCATGAAAAGGAGGCTAAAGGATGGAGTGGAAAGACTAATTTAGTGTGCAGTGCAACCACAGTCAGACGTTGATGTAATGAGGAGTTATCAGATGGATTGTGAGCTACAGCTCACCAGTCATGATTTACTCGTTTATTTGTGGAAGAAGCACAAGATTTATGGTTATAAGAAAGAAAAAAATGAATGAATAGAAAGCTGTAAAGAAATAACAGAGAAGGGATTAACTACTTCCTCTTTTAAACTGAGTAAGGAGATCACAAACAATAATTGCCCCAAAACAAAAGGTTAATTTATAATCAGACTACACTTGAGGCAATAGTTCAAGTGCAGGGTTAAAAATCCCTGAAGCAAACAAAACAAAAGCACTGCAAATTTGCACATTCATGCCAAACAAATAGAATAAAACGATAAAAAAATAACTGGTGGAATCATGAAACTATGATTACATCTGATTGAGGAGTAAAAGTAATGTTTTTTGAATGAGGCTGCCTGTGAAGATTTTCTTTATGAAAGCAGAGCATGTGTCGGCTCACCTGCTTATTATTATCGGAACACACAGATGAGGAAGTGCTTTATCTACAAACTCAGGAAAGCAGATGTTATCCAGGTCATCGGGTATATCACTCTTTAATCAAGTCATTTATTTCCACTTTCTTATAATCAAACATCCTGGGCATTGAAAGATATCATATGATCAAACCCAAAAGAATGATTGTAATTGAGCAAATCCCAGACAGAAAACCTCTTAATTACACAATGAGTTTCCTCTGAAGACAGTTCAGATATGGCCTCAAAGCAAATAACAGTCAGTTTGTCAGAACTGACAAATATTAATTTGTAAGCTTAAATAATGAAACATAATATGCGGTAATCTTACCTGCTCTGTTTTCAGCTGTGCTGGTGAAGCAGACGAGGTGAGGTTTGGTGCGACTGTGTGGGCAGAGGAAGCTCGGTATTTTAATCTGTTGAA